CTTTTAAAATAAWTATCTTCAAGAAGATTAGGAAATAAGAGCACAAAGGAGAGTCCTGTGCTTTAATGTTTGGAATTAAGTTTGTTTAAAAAAAAAAAAAAAAGTTTTAAATAGTGGAGGCGAAACAGGGATCATCCTTTGAAAATGATGGATGCTGAAACTTTAATTTTAAGGTTTAGAAAATGATGTGGTCTTCCAAAATATGGCATTTAGAACGTTGTAGGCAAAAATGATAGTGTAAGTGTATATAACTGAGCTGCAATCAAAGCATTATTGAGTGTCTGCGGAAGCGCTGACAGTCTGACGCAGGCAGCTTTCTCCACCGGCCTTTCTAGATGCTGAAATTCCAGAGAAGGACAAAGCTCAATCCCTGTCATCTTTTTCCATCTTCCTCCTCTCCCTTTCCTMCCACCTCCCAGTTGTGTGGGATAAAACAACTTAGAGTGCCGTTGGCAGCAAAGCCAGGGCCCTGCCATTACACGGTCTGCTCTGCTTTGAGGTCTGGGAACCGGCGCAAAGGATCCAGCCGTGCGGGCCCGGAAAGGCTCTGTGGCCACTCTGCCTTTGGAAGAAAGCGTGCCCAGGAGATGGCTTTCCTGACAAGGCACTTTTGCTTCTCCCTACCTCTTCACAGATGTGCTGTGGTTTGAGAGTTTTTCCTCTCTCTTTTTTTTCTTTTTTAAATGTCCTTGATTTTTTTAAAAAGATGAACGCAAGCAATTCCTGCATACGGAAAGTATCTCTGCAAGTCAATGTTTGATCCTGCAACCGGAGCACTGGGCATTCGGTTATTGCTGGGTTTTAGGTCAGCTGGGCTCCGGTTTAGATGGGACTACCAGGAGGAGGAGGAGGAAGATTGCAGTGGGTCCATGAGGCTTTCCTGCTGTGGGGGAAGCACACGCTGTTCAGCCCATTCCCAAACCAGGGCAGAGCTGCAAGCATCATTAAAATTCCCGACCTYAGTGTGGTTTAAAAGATACGTGCTGCGTTAGTGCCCGTGCCTTTTTCTTCCTTGACTTCTGAGAGATTAGCATAACTTCCTGCCATTGCAAATGCACTGGAGCTACCAGTTTAGGAGGTACCAGTTTAAAGGCTGTGGTCGCCAAAGAAAAAAGGGCAACAAAGAAACCCCAACCAACCAAAAAACCCCACACTCTTTAACTGTGCATGTGTGTGTGTTTGAGGCCTTTCTTAATCTGACAGAAGGACACATATTTAGAAATTCAGAGAATAAATCTTCCTGACGTTGTGGCTGCTCTGTGCCCAGCTGCTTTGGTGTGTGCCAAGGGCTCCCGGGACCCGTGGGGAAGAGGAGCGTTTTACACGTTGGATGGGGCCGAGCTGGGCTGGCAGGGGAGCCTGTGAGCTGTGGAGGGGCGGTCTGGCACACGGCTGCTGCCCGAAGGGCAGAWAAGTTACATGAAGGGTACGTGCCTYGCTGCAGGAGCCTGGTACCGGGGCACGGGAGGGGATCCTGGCGCTGGCTGCGCTGCGGGTTTCCCTGCGCTGCGTGTGTGCACATCCACGGAGCCCGTCTGCAGGGCCGGCTCTTTGTACCAGTGGGAAATCCAGGCTTTAGTTTCAAGTTAAATGTATGTTGTTGATTGTGCGCTTTGGTTTAGGGCTATGCATTGAAAAAAAAGCTGGGCTCTGTCTCTATCAGCCTTTTACTTTAAATAGGAATGGCTTTATTGGGCCAGGCTGGAGCTTCACTGCTCTGGGATCCTTTTTCTACTGCTAATAAATACGTAGGGGAGGGAGTCAGAAGGGGAAATGAGAAGGGAATACCCTTCTAAATACCTGCAGCTGAGGGWCTCTTGGAGCCAGAATTGTTATTCTTAAAAGCCCTTCCTGGTTGTTGGGCTTAACCTGCTGCCCGGTAACATCATCTGCTGCTCTCTGTCACTTGTGTCCAGGAAGCAGTAGTGCTCTGTGCCACTTCCCTGGGCTCCCCCTCTCCACGCTGAGGAATCCTAGTCCTCRTTCTGTGTACAGAAGGAGATCCCTGCTTTTCATTATCCTTGTTACTCTTGTCTCATTAGGCCCATCCTTTTGGGGATGGGATGTCCTGATTGCATATGTTACTTACCACTTAGATACACTGTGGATTTTATACCTTAGCCTGGTGTTTTTATTTTGGCTCTTCACTTCCAAACAGGTTTTTTTTTTTTTTTTCACTTACCTTTTAGATAGCAATTGAGCTAATGTTTCCATTGAACTATGGTCATATAATTCAGAGATTAGGTGGAGTCCCCCAGGTAACAGGCTGCTCTGCAGAAATGGGTACCAGATAGGTGCTAAAATGCTGGGAGAGCTCTAAGAGATGGGTCTCTGTGTAAGACCCGTCCTGAGGGCATGGTTCAGTCATGCCTCCAAAGTGAAAATGTGTATGTCTTTTTAGTTTAGTAGTTGTAGTTTTAATATAAATTACATTTTTTATGTACTTTTGTAGTTTTAGATCAAAAGATTACTTCTGTGACAAGACAGCATGACACTTTGAAGTATGACAGAAGTCCTGATGCTGCAGCAGAGGCTGGGAATATTAATGGCCAAATCTAGGTGAGTGATTTTAGCTCTATCAACTCCCTAGCTGTTTCACATAGGGGCCTTTCTTTCCTTWTAGCCTTGGTTCACATCTCACTTTTTGAAGAAGCTTTCCAGTCCTTCATTTTCTCAAGCATCAATATTTCAGTATTTTGGAGGCAAAATGATACAGTTGTATTTTTTTGTGTGTCTTTGGGTAGACTTCACACATCTGTGTATACTACACCATTTCCCTTGCAAATCCAGCAGTATTGCAAATTACTTTGTAGGTTTTTTTTTTTTTTCAATTAATTACTCTTTATGGTCCTTTTAAGTTTTCTGGCACCTCCTTCCAATGGATTGGATCACTGTTATCTTTATGAGGAATGCAGAGAAGCCATGATAGTATCACCGCGTGCTACAGTCTGGTTCTGTTTCCAGCTTATCCAGAGGTTGCTCGTGGCCTAAGACTGGACTTTGCCAAATATAGAAGCCTCTCTGCTTGAAGACTGTTAGGAAGTGTCTGAAACTTCAAAGTGCTTGTGGCAAGTTTAGATTTCATTCATAGTTAATCTGCACTCTGTCTGTTTCCRCCCATTGCTCTGTTGAGCAGCGTACTTCCAGAATGTCCAGGGCTGGCTACTGAGGCCAACATGGACCTTACTGCAACGAGGCATCGTGGGGTGCCAGGGCRGGAAGTTAATCATAGGTGGGTTTAGCTCCATGTCCTTTGCTAAAGAAAATGAGGCAGAAACAATCAGGAAAAAATCGAGCCATTTAAATAATGATGGGATATATGTGTGAAGACTGTTGAAGGTAGCCTGTTGGTTGAAGGTAGCTTGGGAGATTGATTGCCCAGCTTAAGAAATTCCAGGGCTTGTGTTTCAGGGATTCTTTTCCAGGGCAAAAACCAGTAGTAGAAAGAAGCAAGCAAACTCCCCAGGGTCCTCTTGGGTGGAGAAAGGGACTCTGTCATGTTATTGCAAGTTTTCTTGTTCTGATCAAAAGTGACATGAGAGGAATGCCACAATTTTGGCTACATGGCCAGCACTCGGCCTCTTCATTGCTAGCCTGATCCAAGCCCGTGTTTTATAAAAGCCTTTCACTAAAGTTCTTCCTTTGGGAAGGTTTTGGAGGCCACTGAGGGGGCTGTATAGTCTCTAGTGAAGCTGTATCTGTATTGAGTCGCTTTCCTTGYCAGGGAGAGGCCAGAGTTAGCTGCACTTCACCCTTGCCCTTGGTTTTCAGCAGGGCAGTGTTACTCGGGTACTGCCCTTTCCTGCTAATACCCGTGCATGGGGAGAAGGCAAGTCCTGGTTTTCTTAAGGTGGCATCTGATTTTCCCCCTAAGTCAAGAAGTTAAATGACTAGTTTTGTCTTCATCCTTCCTCATCTTCAATGTCATATCTCTTATTGACTCTCTTTTGTCCCACTTTTGTGTAGTGAAATTTTTGATTCCTTTCCAATCTAAAGTCCATATTAAATGTGTAAGTCTTCTCTTGCTAACTTCCTTGGTTGATCAACAGTGTGATGATGGAGGGAGTGAACTATGAGTTTTTGCTCCGTGAAAGCTCTACCATAAATATGCAACTCTAAACACAAAGAATATCAAATACATTTTTGATTTTTTTTTAGGTTTAGCCAAGCTGTTCTGTTGGTCAAATTTTTTTTATTTTTATAGTAGATAGAGTAGACTGTAGAACACAATTTAATCAAGAAAGAACTCGATAGAAATAAAAATATTAAAAAAATTAAATATATATATATATTATATATATATATTTATATATATATATAGCTTGAAAAGTTTACAAAAGCTTGTTTAGTGCCCATTGCTCTATGGGAAGTGTTTAAAAGTGTCAGGCAGACCTTTGGTGCGGCGCCGCCCGCGCAGGGGCTGCCTCCAGGGCCACGGAGCCTCCACCCTCCATTGTAAGTTCGCCCTGGAGCTGGCCAAGCCAAGGCAGCTTTTCAGGATTGCCATGTGGGCTCTTTGTGTCGCCCCTGCCTGGTAACCTCCTACACAGAGGGCTTTTATGGGAGCYGTCAGGGCTGTCTTCAGCAGTGGAGAAGCTGGGAGTCCTCATCTGGCTAGACCTGGAGCCCAGGTAGTCTCTTGTGTAAGGGGCCTGGTTTCGGGGATGAGAATTGCACCCAAGAAATGTTGTTTTTTTTCTCAAGTGTTACTATGGGAGTTAAGGTGACAAGTCAAGTGGGTCGGTTTGGCAGTAACCTCAGGTTTAAATGTTGGYAGGCCTTTTAGCAGCTTCGTACAGCCAAGTCTAACTTGAATTTGTGTGTAATAGTTATGATTCTGCAAATTTGACATGACAGTTTCTAATTTCAGAGAGTAATTTGTGTTGGGCTCTTCATTCAATTATGCTCCTTTTTCTCCTGTTTTCTTCAACCAAGTTAACCTCTTTGTTGTTTGTTTCTTGTTTCTGGCTCTAGAGATCACATGGTCTTCTGAAGAMGTCATGGGTAGCTGTTGTAGCTGTCCAGATAAAGAAACTGTCCCAGATAACCATCGAAACAAGTTTAAGGTAAGAGACTGACTTTGTATGCTGTGAATTATTTTGTTGTTATTTATTATTTTTCTGGAATCCTTTCGTAGCGTCCGTGTCAGAAGCTCTTTACCCAGGTTATGTTTGTTGTGACCTTTGGATCTTCAGGGGAGAAAAACAGCCCAGTGTTTTCRTGCTAACTCCATTCCAAGGGCTGGGGCCCCGTTCCATGCGTCACCTCTGGGAGGTTGTGGAGCTCCCCAGGCTCATGGAAAARCCATTGCACAAGCGTGACAGTGACCCTGGAAGCAGGGTCAGCAATGGGAAATTGAGGAGTGCTCATTTGACCTGAAGCTCACTATTGATAACAGCATTTTGAGAGTTTTTATTTTCTTTACTGGAAGGAGTTTCCTGCAGAGTCTGTCCGTGGGATTTCCAAGCTTGTGAACACTTGCTCCTGGGCTTACCACGAAGCTGCTGAGGGGGCAGTGACTTTAGGCAAACCCCTTTGCGTAGGCACACAAGTCAAATGTGCCTCTGTTGGCAAAGGAATGTGATGCTTCCACAGTGAGAAATGACTCATGCCTTGCCTTAGGGCAGTGCTCAGTTGAGCTTTAAAATCCACCATGGGAATTTCTCAAAATGTTTGGTACTAGCAGTATGAGAAGCGGATGGATAAAATATTTTCTTCTGCTTTCTTGCTTTTCATGCTTTTGACATCGCTTCTTGCAGTGAGRTTGTTTTTTTCTTGGAGAATTTCTCTGTTGTTTGAGTGGGTCTCCGATCTAGCAGTGGGGGAGAGAAGATGAAAGAATGTAATTTGTAAAAACTGAGGAAAATTGGCATAGGCTTCAGTGGCAGATGATACCTGTCCTAATTCTTCTTAATTAACTAGATTTCAAGTTGAAAATGCCTCTTTAAGGAGTAAAATTAGTTAATATGATAGGAAAGAGTTTTGTAGCCTTTCTTTTGAGTAGGGAAGAAACCCATTAAAAGCAGGATTACGAGATAAAATACATATGGGGGAAAATACTCTTTTTTTTTTTTTTTTTGCAAATTCCATAAAGGATGTAGAAGACTTCCAACTAGTGTAGAAGCAGAAGGATAAAAAGTTTAAACTTGTTACATGTCATGTGTTTTGCACAAAATAATCATGAGGTATTTGAATTATTTGTTGACATTTAAAAGGCAGGAAATACCTAAACCAGCCTGGTGAATTCAGCAAGGCTCTACAGGTGTGTGAGGGAAGTTTTATTTTTGGGTGCTACCTTCTTTTTCATTTCTTTACTYGACTGTGAGTGGGGTTACGTGACAAAGCAAATAGTTCCAGATAGTTCTCTGAATTTAAATAATTTCAGATAGTTCAAATAGCTCTCTGAAGGATTTATTATTTGAGATTTATGCCTTCCATGTGGATATGCTAGAATATGTACATAAAGGAAGTTTTAAAAAGGAATCCTTTTATGAATATTTTTTTCACCTCAGATCTTCCAATAGTATTTCATAGTCTTGTTCATACTACTTTTAAATATGTATTATTTTAGTCCTAGCTTGGGAGAAGCAGAGGAGAAGCTTTGGTGCAATTTTCTAAGCTTTCACTCCATGAGTTCTAACTCGGATGGTAGAGCAAACAGAGGGCATCAGTGAAGCATTGAGATAATATTGGCAGTATTACTGCTGAAAAGAGTGCTTACCTAATGGTATTTAACTTTTCCTTCCTAGGTTATTAACGTGGATGATGATGGTAATGAACTGGGTTCTGGCATAATGGAACTTACCGACACAGAACTGATTTTGTACACCCGGAAACGGGACTCGGTAAAATGGCACTACCTCTGTCTGCGGCGCTATGGCTACGACTCCAATCTTTTCTCTTTTGAAAGTGGTCGAAGGTGTCARACTGGGCAAGGTAGGTAGAAATTCTGTCTATAAAAGATTTTTAAAACATGCCTTAAAAAAAGGTCTATTTGCCCTTCTTTGGGCAAAGGTTTAAAGAATATCGCTTCATATGAATCTGGTTTCTGGAAAAAAGTAAATTGCCATGTGAGGGGAAGATGGTGTCCTGGTGAGTGACTGGCATTAGAAGTAGAGTCTTAAAGCAGATTAGTCTCAAATTGAGGATTGGAATGGTTTCCTCTTTCTGGCACTGCAGGCCTTGAGCACTTTGTGCTTGTGCATAGTGACGCTTCTGGTCAACTTTGAAGGTGGCTTTGATAGGAAAAAAATCCTGGGCTTTCAGGGAATGGCAGTGGAAGGGGCAATGTAACCTGGGAGGTGGATGTAGCCTTGGGAGTGTGCAGGGATTGTCTTAAATACTTAAGAATAGAGAAGTCTTTGAATTACACACAATCTCAGAGTGGTTGAGGTTGGAAGGGACCCGTAGAGATTATCTAGTCCGACGCCCCGCTGCTCCAGCAGGGACACCTAGAGAGCTGGGGGGCCTGGATATTCCCACCCTATTACTGTGTTCAGTAATGTTTGGGTGTCATCCTTTTCCTAAAGCAAATACTACATCCATTTATATCAGCAACAGCATACTTAAGTCTTGATATATTTCCTATGAAGTGTTCAAACTCCAGCTGAGCTCAGTTGTTTTCCGATGGTTCCCAGATCGTGGCCGGCTTTTGGCCAAGACGGGTCCCCCTGAAAAGATGATGTTCTTGATCCTTCCTCACTGCAACACTGGGAGAGGAAATATCTGTATTTGTTGAGGTCGGAGCAAGGTGTTTCTGCCCTCAGTTTGCATCTTCCCAGCACACAGYGCAGCTGAGCAGAGTAGGTGTTCTTGCATGTGGATGCTTGGTGAAATTCAAGTGCCTTTTTAGTTTGTTAATTTCCAGAGGGACCTGGACAGACTGGAGGACTGGGCGGTGAGAAACCTCATGAGGTTCAACAGGAGCAAGTGCAGGGTCCTGCACTTGGGGAGGAATAACCCTGGACACCAGTACAGATTAGGGGTCGACCTGCTGGAGAGCAGCCCCGCAGAGAGGGACCTGGGTGTCATRGTGGACGACAAGTTGACCATGAGGCAGCAGTGTGCCCTGGTGGCCAAGAAGGCCAACGGGATCCTGGGGTGCATTAAGAAGAGCCTCTCCAGCAGGTCGAGGGAGGTGATCRTCCCCCTMTACWCAGCCCTGGTGAGGCCACATCTGGAGTACTGTGTCCAGTTCTGGGCTCCCCGGAACAAGAGGGATGTGGAGCTGCTGGAGAGAGTCCAGTGCAGGGCTACCAGGATGATCAGGGGCCTGGAACATCTGCCCTATGAGCAAAGGCTGAGGGAGCTGGGYCTGTTCAGCCTGGAGAAGAGGAGGCTGAGGGGGGACCTGATCAGCGTGTATAAATACCTCAAGGGAGGCAGTGAGGAGGAGGGGGGCGGCCTCTTTTCAGTGGTGGACAGTGATAGGACTAGAGGAAATGGCTTCAAACTGAAGCATCGGAAGTTCCACAGGAACTTAAGGAAGCATTTCTTCACTGTGAGGGTGACARAGCACTGGAACAGGCTGCCCAGGGAGGTTGTGGAGTCTCCTTCTTTGGAGATCTTTAAAACCCGGTTGGATGCAGCCCTGTGCCMCGTGCCCTGSGTGAGCAGGGGGGTTGGACTTGATGACCTCTGAGGTCCCTTCCAACCTTGGGCATTCTATGATTCTATGATTAATACTTATCAACTGCAAAATGATTGATACTGATCAAAATACTAGGAAATGCTAACAATTTCTTTTAACTTCCTTCTTAAAAAAAAAAAAAAAATCACCTGGTTATCCTCATTGCCTCAGCCGAGGTGAGGCAGTTATTTTTGCAGTAAGAGTTTAAAAGGCATTCCTGGTTCTCTTCCTTTGTCCTTAGCATTCCTCATATTTTGGTGGGATAGCTGGAGGAGAAACAGAGATTTATTCAAGTGTTACAGTATACTCTGTACTTAATAAAATTTTCAGATTTTAAAAGAGAAAATCATGAAGTCCACTGAAAGAAAATGTACTTTAGTTGATTGTTCAAGTTTAATTCATGTTTCTTTAAAATTTTTAGCATAGCTACAAATGAAATTCAATTGAAAATACCGTTTTGAATGTCCTCCTTCTTGGCCTTTTAGCAAGCGTGAAGAATCTCCCATTGAATCAAATTGACTTCTCTGCCTCCCTGCCATCTGTGTTTTTAATAGAGAAGATTAAGGGGGAGCAGCAACCCTTTCCTCCCTCTTTTGTTTCTCCCTTTCCTTATGTAATATTGCTGTGGATGTTGAGAAAAGGAGGAAGAAATCTGGCAGGAACTGCTGGCCCTGCTGCCTGTTGCAGTGGGACATTGTCCCCGAGCCCCGCGCTGGGTTTTGTGGCCGCAGTTGCAACACTGGATCTTCAGCTGCGGAGACGACGGAGCGGGATTTTCTTTTGGGAATACACCAAGTAGCATCCAGTAGCTCTTACTGGTTTACTTTAGTTCATGGTCTTGTCTGTGTTCCATCAAGTTTGTGTTTTCTGTCAAATTGAACATATGGAGGTACCAAAAGGCACAATACTGCCGTTATGCTCGGTTTGGGAATCCTTAAGGATATGATTTTGGGAGCAGAGATAACACACGTAGAGAACCCGGAGGAGCTGATACGTTGCTGTATTTCCTGAGCCACAGATGGGATTGATTTTAGCGTGAGTGTAATAAAGAAAAAAATTGAGCTTTCACCAAGGTATTTTTTGTTTACACTCTCAATTCACCTTATATTTTAAAGAATTAGCAATCTGAAACGTTTTAATTTATAACAAAGGAGGCAAAGCCAGCTGAATTTCTCGGGAACAATTTGGGGGCTTTTTAAAGCTTGTAAACCTGGCTTTTTTGGTGTTGGTGGAGCAGTTATTTTGTCAATTAAAGCTGAAATATCCAGGACAGATTTGGGGTACGCRGGAGGAACTAGCCGTGGAGCATCCCTGTGCCCACAGGATGCAYGGCCAGGCATCAGCCCCTTGGCATGGTCCCACCTGGAGTCTCTCCAGGCTTTGCCCCGTGGAGCCTTCCTGCTGCTTCTCCTCTCACTCTTSTGTGTCCTTTAAAAAGAAATACAAATACTGCCTGCTGTCAACACGAACTTCGAGCCGTAGTTACACAGCAGGGAGCTGTTAGGGAGGAGTGTTTTAAGCCTGTGCCACGCGTTGTAGACCACGAGCCCGTGCAGACCCGTTTAACAAGCCTGTCAACTTTAACTTAATGCCTTCCCTGGAAGAACAACCCAAAGCTGTCACTTGGCTGCTGGGGGTAAGTCGGGGCATCCCTGCTCTTCCCGGGCAAAGCGGCACAATACGTGGGTAAAGCGCTCGGTATTGCTGCTGCCTTTGTGCGCCCTGYCTCCCCTCTGGCCCCAGCCAGCTGGTTTGGTGCTGTCTCTTTCACACGCTCGCTCCTACGACTGGCTTTGCATTTTTATCTCCTGGCAGAAACCTCGACCTTCACCCCGTGTTTGGATCCTTCTTTCCTGATGTGCTGGCGTCTTGTTTTTATGGCAATTTAGTAGAGATCCGGTTTAAAAATGTGATCTTGTAGCACCAAAGTTGTTTCATTTAGTGTTTATTTATTTATTATCTTTTTAACAGGTCTCTTAAAAGTGTGTTTAAAAAAAAAAAAAMACCCTTCTTTTTCCCTTTTGCCTCCCCATTTAGCATTTGGATTTAGGCTTGTTTTATAGTTGAATCAATTTTTCTGTTCTGACTTAACGTTCTGTGCATGGAAGTTTTTTCTTCTATCAACACTTAAAAGAGTTTCACTGTATTTTTGTGTGTTTTGATGGGAATAATGATGTGTTTCCTTCTTTAACAGGTGTTCGTTGTGTGGATTCTGGTTCTGTTCTGTAAAATTTAGCTATGTCGTGTGACACTTAAAAGATTTTTCTTTTCTTGTGTATTTATAGGAATCTTTGCCTTTAAATGTGCCCGTGCRGAAGAGCTGTTTAATATGTTGCAAGAGATAATGCAGAACAACAGCATAAATGTGGTAGAAGAACCAGTAGTAGAAAGGAATAACCATCAAACTGAGTTGGAAGCTCCAAGAACCCCTCGAACACCTACCAGTAAGTGCGGTTATACTGCCGAATGGCACGGGGTAGTTAGCTTTGAATTAGATTGCTTTAATTACTTAATGCAAATTAAATGCTATTTTCAGCTGGGAGGTGCGTGGCCATTAACATGTGTTCTTGAGATACTTTCTGAGGATTCTTGTTCCCAAATATGAAATCTTGGGCRTAAAACTGCTGGAGTCAAATTCTCCAGCTTTCAAACCTGCTCTTTAGGACCTTGGGTTTTGCTTAAGAGCACTGCTCCAGTGTGTGCTCATGCAGTTGCTTTATAAACGACCATCATACCTCTCTTTAGCAGTGTGCAGAAATGTCAGTGCTAGGCAGAGCTCCAGTTTTTTTGTTAGGAAAGCTGTAATGGTCCCGGCACGTGTGCCGTGGGCTTGGAACCTCTCTCTGGCTCTACGTGGATGCATAGGTAGAATGAAGCCCTTCCAAACTCCYAGGGGATTTCAGGTAATCCTAGTGGTGTCTGACAGCTTGAATTCCTGCTCACTGAGTACTTAGCAGAAGCAGAAGTTTCAGGAAATAAGTTCCTGTTTTTAGGAAGCATGTTAATGGTAGGAAAAGTGGTCGRGTGGGAGTTTATTGGGAAAACTGTGGGTTGTAACATGTGGATTTYAGTGGGTGCTTGGGACGTGTTTCCCAGTGAGCACTGGGATCTTCTAGGCTGGTTTGCTTTTGCCATTCCTTCCCTGCAGCAAAGCTGAGCCTTTTGACTGTTGAGAACTGTTTTACATATTCTGATTTTCTTTTCTTTTTGAAATTTGAAGATGATGATATAAAGCACTGTACTCATATACAGTAAAATGTGCCTGTTTTAATATAGTTTGCTTGTTTTCTGATTGAATCAGCTCCCGGGTTCAATGCACAAAGCCTACCTAACGGCTATCCCAGATATCCATCTTTTGGAGATGCTTCCTCACATCCCTCCAGCAGGCATCCTTCTGTTGGAAGTGCACGCCTCCCCTCTGTTGGTGAAGAGTCAACGCATCCTTTACTCGTAGCAGAGGAGCAAGTGGGTATTTTTCTTCTTCCTTTGGTATAATTCATGTTCGACGTCAGCTCAGGTTTTTAGGCTCACTCTGTATGTTTACATTTTCAGTTGTGTTGTTGAGCATCGACTGCGTTTTTTTCTGTGTGTATAATAGCTCAGAAAATAAAATTATACATTATAGGATAATTTGAAGGAGAAGAGGAACTTGTATAGTTGTGAAATTTCATCAGGTGGACATTGCTCCTTATCCTTTCACTGGACAGCTCCAAAAGGGGCTGGCTCTGTCTTCTCTTTAACCATCTATTAAGTAGTCGAAAACAGCACTTAGCTCGCTCCTTATCCCCCTTAGGAAAGTAGAGTAAGAAGGAAGGAAAAAAAAAAAAAAAAAAAATGTAGCTAGTATTGATCTTTTTTTTTTTTTTTTAATTTCTTTAACCCTTCTTTTAGGTGCACACTTATGTCAACACTACTGGGGTGCAAGAGGAAAGAAAAAACCGCTCGAGTGTGCATGTGCCAGCRGAAGCGAAGCTCCCAAACGTGGAAACGAATAAAGCGAAGGAGGATCAGGTGTGTACGGATGACAGAGATGCCCAGGTTCTCCTCGAGCCTGAAGGAGTCAAGTTTGTTTTAGGACCAACGCCTGTGCAAAAGCAGTTAATGGAAAGAGAGAAACTGGAGCAACTTGGGAGAGACCAAGTTGGCGGCAGCAGCACAAACAACACGGAGTGGGACACCGGGTACGACAGCGACGAACGGAGAGAGACGCCGTCTGGTAATAAACTGGTATATGAAAATATCAATAGGTTATCAATCCCTAGTGCCTCCGGGGTCAGGAGAGGTCGTCTGACATCGACCAGTACCTCAGATACCCAGAACATTAACAACTCTGCTCAGAGGAGAACTGCCTTGTTGAACTATGAGAACTTGCCCTCCTTGCCTCCCGTGTGGGAGGCTCGCAAGCTGAGTAGAGATGAAGATGACAGTTTAGGACCAAAGACCCCATCTCTGAATGGCTACCACAATAACCTAGATCCGATGCATAATTATGTCAATACAGAGAATGTAACAGTACCAGCAAGTGCTCATAAAGTAGAATTCTCACGACGTCGGGACTGTACCCCAACAGTCTTCAACTTTGACATTAGGCGTCCGAGTTTAGAACACAGGCAGCTCAACTACATACAGGTTGACTTGGAAGGTGGCAGTGACTCYGACAACCCTCAGACTCCCAAAACCCCCACCACTCCACTTCCACAAACTCCAACCAGGCGCACAGAGCTGTATGCTGTGATAGACATTGAAAGAACTGCTGCTATGTCAAGCCTGCAAAAAGCACTGCCCCGAGATGATGGTACTTCTAGGAAAACTAGACATAACAGTACTGACCTGCCTATGTGAGCCTGGAAAGCATTGAATCATTTGCACCTTTTTGTGAAGTTTATAAAATTGAAGATGCAAGTAGTTTGCATTTCTTAACACTAACGCCTTTTATAGACTAATAGAACTTTTTCTGCATACTTCATGTACTTGTCTAACAAAAGGGAATTAATGTAGAGCAAATACTCATTTTAATAACACTATTTCATTCTACGGTAGTAGGAATTACTGCATAGCAGCGTCGCCACCTTTCACAGTGCCTCTTTAAATGGATTAGAGCCTGAGTGACATGGCAGTTTTGAGTTTATAAATATTCTGGTCCGGTGCCTGTAGTCGTGAATGGCATTTGTAACACTTTCTAAAGCCTCTTGGTATGTGCATTATTTTCAGGTAAATCTGATTTTTTTTAAAGGTACATATCTTTACATTCAGTCTTCATTCAGATGGCTCCTCCAGAACGAGATGTATGTAATTCATTAATTCAGTTTGACTTAAACAAGGTATTTTGGTTCATCTCAAGGGATATAAGTAACACACTTTTAAATGTCTTTTTTTTTTTTTTTAAGACCACATGGGCAAGAAGGCCTCAAATTCCCAGTAGTTTTCTTAACTTGTGTGATATCTGAGAGGTCACGTCAAAGCTTGCTTGGTCGGAGCTGTAAGTGCATCTGAAAAGAGCCTTAAGTCACTTCTGCCAGAAGAATTTCGAGTGATGTATGAAGTTCCCTGTGAAAACTGACATAATTCTGATCTCCTTAGTCATTTGTGAAGGAATTCACAGGTTGGCTGTGTGAATCAAGGCTCTTTGGCCATTTCTTAGTTCACCGTGCCTTCTTTTCAGTTGTATGTTTCTTTCTCCTTGTCCTATAACGTCTTAAGCGTCTACATTTTGTACATAGCTTTAATTATTGTTCAGGGTTCTTTGTGTTCGTCGTATTCTCTGCGTTTGCCAGAGAGAGACTCTTGAAGGTCAAATGGTTGTCTCTGTCCAGTGTTGTACGTGTTTCTGCGCGACCGAAGTACCCCCCGCGTTATTGCACACCTGGAAAGGGTAACGACGCATCCAATGTCTTCCTGTGAAGCACCACACACAGGTGACGTGGGAGGCAGCGTCCTGGGCTTGGGAGTTCTCCACAGCAGTTTGTGCATTCGAGCCGTGTGCATCCAGAGGTGATAGTCGTCTTTAATTTAGAAAGAATATATAGTAAGTTATCTGAAGGTAGGGTTATCTATGAGCAGATTTCCTTTCTTTTGCAGTTGGTGAATTTTTAAGAGCTGCTCAGTGTTACAGGTACATCCAGGTATCGTGCATTTGTTGCATATGCCAGCTGCATCCTTAGCTACTTTTTTTTTTTTTTAATTTCAGAATAATTTTACAATTCTGGCACTATTTCCAGTGCACCTGGATATTAGTGGCAGCAGGGAATACTCTTGAGCCAGGGGTTGCAAAGGAGATGGCACTTGCGTGAGCTGGTGTGATTAAAACAAACAAACAAAACCTCTTGAACTGTGTGTAAGGAAAACATGTGCAAGAAAAGCTATTGGAGGAGCTGAAGAAGAATTAACTGTCTTCATGCAATATCTGARGCTTTATTAAAAGCAAAAATATTTCCAGTCTCTTAAACTGGAGGGTATTTCTGTTCCCTTGTTAACTTTTTSTTTGGTCTTCTCTCAGTTTAGTAGTGGCAACAGTTGACAGTGCCTGAAATCCCTGTTCCTTGCCATGTCTTTAAGGGATAGGATCAGGCAAGCTTTTCACTCTGTGAGGTTTTCCTTAGTCTATGGTACTGAAACACCAGCTGCACAAAGAACAGCTTGCACAAGGCAAAAACGGGAGTCACTGYGAGCATTAGGAGAGATTTAAGAGATGAAAAAAACAAACTTTTCACCGATGATTTCCCTGTCAGCCTATGCCTCATATTGTGATAGGCTTGTTGAAATGTGCGGAGTGCTCAGGAAGCTAAGGAGAAGCTAGAGCTGGACGTCTTGCAGGTCTGCAGTGCTGCTAATGCTCCTTCACACCTTTGCCATTGCCTCATACTGTGCCATAGACCAGTCSTGCTCTCTGCTGAAGAGACGTTGCCGCTCTTTGTTCTGAAATGCCTAGTGGATGAATGATACTGGGGTGATTCTTGTTCCGAGTTCATAGCTCACTTAAATTTGTGAGTCGCACTGACGCTTTAGCGTGTGTTGGAGGCAAAACTGTTGGATCTGTCTAGCCGCCTAGAAATACTTRGACCTCAAGCATAGATATCTCAGAAATATTAGTTAATTTGATCCTTTAAACATACCAGTGAGGCAGGAAATAATATTCTTAATGACAACTAGAGGAAGAGACTTTAGGTAGACCATGAGAGTTAAGAGACCTGCTGCAATTCCAGAAGACAAACATTCCTCCTTAGTTCTAGTGCATTCTCCTATGCGTTGATACTGAATAGCCTCAGAAAGAACGGATGGGCTGAGTAGTGTTTGCTGTTGCAAGTCTGTAGGTCACAGTGCTTCATGTGTGTCTGTGTGTGTGTGTTGGGGGCGGATATTTTCCTAATTCTGGTGCCTGGATTTAAGGACTAACTCARATGTCAGCTTCTGTGGTTTTTGAGTGCTTAGTCCTGACATTTTGTCAGTATCCCGAATAGCAAATGCATCCAGCAGAGTTCAAGGGAAAACCTTCTGTAGCCTTAATTATGTTAACCAGTCTGACACAGTATTTCCTAGGAATATCTTTTACCCTCTTTCATCCTGCAGGTGGGATAATGCTTTCCCTTTGTGTGTGTATGTGTGTAAGCTGGAGAATTACTGTGTAGTTTCTGTTCCCTGTCATCAGAATTATTTTTGTTTCTTTATTTTCTGCCCCTTGAAGTAGGTGTAGTTGCAATGCACTTTACCCTTGGAGACTTGGTAAATATTTTTGCAGTTCAGTCTCTTTAAAGGTTGTGATGTTAGATTCACTGTCTGTAGATTTAGGGTTCAGTTTTCAGCTGAGATCTCTCCACAGTATTTAGACCATATTTATTCGGGGCTCACAAATGTATAGAGTGAGAAGCTACAAATATGTAACAGTTTTCTTTAATGATTGAGRCTTGTTAATTTTACATAAGCCGTGTCCTGCAAAAATGGTGACATCTCCTTCGGTTCCACTTTTCATCCATAACCCGCAACTGACTGCGGCTCTTCAAGCATATGAAGTGAGGGAAAGCCTTAAGCTGTAGGTACTCCTTAAATGCTCTGACTTGTGAAAATAAATGCAACACAGAGTGTCTTTTAAACAAGGAAAATCAATTTATAGGAAAAAAAAAGCAGCAGTGGCCAAAAGTACATAATAAAACTTGCATGATACTGTTGGCGAGAGCATTAGATGCGTTAGTTGCATCAGGAAAGCGATATTTTCTTTCTCAAATAGATATCAGGAGGAGATGCAATTTAAACTTTGTAGTGTTTCCCAATGACTGACTTCATAAAACAATATAAAAAAAAGCCTGTTCTGAAAACTAACTGACCTTAGAGCACTCTGTTTTCAATAGTGTTTCTAAAATGTCAACTATACAGGTGTACTGATGAGTACGTTTGGTGTGCGGCAGGTGTTGAATGTGAGGGTGTGCATTCCAGCCGGATTCCTGCTCCTAGTTAAGCCTACAAAACCTGGTGAAAAAGCCTACATGCTCCAGCACGTTTCATACCTTAAAATCCTTCATTTATTTTTCAAGATGTTTAGTTATTTGTGTGTTTGAAACTCTGAGTAGGATTTGGGTGCAGCGAGGTCCCTGGCRAGGCTGCTGTTCTGCAGGTGCCAGCCCAGCAGCTGCTTTTGTTGGACGTGGGCCCGAGTGCATCGGCTCAAAATCTGCCTCTAATTATCCTAGTTTTATACGTGAGCATGTCCACAATGAGACCGAATCGGGAAAGAGCAGGTTGTCTTTATTCACTTCTGCTGAAGTTAAAAAAAAAAAAAAAACCAAAAAAGGCAATTTCTGATTGATTTCAGTTACTACTTGGAGCCTACAATGTTGGATCTGGTTTGGACCTCTGTTTCTTAGCAGTATTTTCTGTGTCGTGTAAGGTGGAATCAATGGTGAAAAGGCAATTCTGCACTGCACTAATTTATTTATGGCTGCAAATAAGATTAAAAAAGAAATGACTAGGAGCTAATAGTGGACTTGAGTGTGAAGTTTCCCCTGCAGGAAGCCAAAAGAAGCTTGGGCCTCCAGTTTGATGGGTAGAATTAGGTACTTCCGGAATTTAATTAGAAGATCTTTGCCATCCTTCCCTAGAGGTAGCAATACAGGAGTTTATATATGACAGTATTTGCGTAATATAAACACAAGTTCATTTATGATAACCTTATTTTAAATCCATATACACTCCAAAAAAAAAAAAAAATCCAGAAGAAATTCCACCACAAAAGACTGCGTTAAGATGGAGTCAGGGTTGCTGATGTCCTTCTTACATAATAAATACTAAAAAGACAGTCTTGAGTAAGGAGCTTTCACAATCTTTAGAAATTCCTCTTTTGGACAAGATAAGGGAATTAAAAAATAGCAACTGTAACTCTGACCACGTATATGTTATTTCTTCTAACATTGTGCTGTAAGGTTTAATCAAGTCTGTCAGATTTTTTTTTTTTTTAGGATATTAACCTGGTGTTTACTCCAGATTAACGCAGTATTTTGTTTGGAAGTCTGTAGGCATACAAATAGAGTATGGGATAGAACGTTACCTTTCAAGTTCATCAAACAAGTGTTGGATGCATCTGTATTTTTATATATTATAAAGGGCATTGAAATTTTTTCTTGCAGTTTTCATAATTATTTAGTGTGGTAAATATACCTATATCATGACAATGTCGTCTGATATATCCATTACGTTGGTGTAATTCTATTTTATGTAGCAAATACGTGTATATACAAAGGAAGTGACGTTAAAAAAGGAAGGAGGATGGTTAGAAGCAGGCGGGAGCCCTTGAGATCAGGGCCTGTGTGTGAGTGTGCGCAAGTGCTGGGAGCCTCGGCTCGAGAGGAGCCTCGGCAGGACGCGCCCCTCGCCCCGGGGGCCAGGGCATGAAGCCTGGGAGCTTTGGTGTCACCGTGGAACCGTCGCTGCTGGCGGGCAGGACCCGGGGCTCGCAGGGGCCTCCCGCAGCGTCGCTCGGAGCCGGAGGAGCTGCGCTGTTGACACGGGATGTGCTCCTACACGATCCGCTTCTGCTGCCGTAACAGCTCCGTTGCACCCGGGGACCCAGTCGGTCCAGTTCTRCAGGAATGGTCTAAAAATACTGTAAAAATATAAATATATTTAATTACACGWACCGAAGAAGATCCTGTTTGTTGTGGTCAGAGTTCAGATTACTATGTGAATTTTGATTTCTTAGTCATACTTGCATATATATTGCTTTATTCTGTATGCGAGGGGAAGTGATTCTAAAGCGTGTGAAAGATCAGGATTACACCTGTATTTTTAATGKCTATGTTACTTAGGACTGGATCTCGGCAAATTTAACTCCATATTAATGCAGTTTTTTTGCATTAGAACATGTGTATATCATACACCCCCCTTTTTATATATAATATATTATATATTTGGTACTAACTTTGTATTCCCCCCTGAGCCTTGCCAAATCCCCCACCTCGGACGTTGTCACGTGCCAGACCTTGGTCCTCAGTGCCCGAATGTATCCGCAGCGCCCTGGCACGCGAGGGGAAAGCAGCTCCGCGTCGCCATCGCTGCGTGTCCCATCTCCCTGCACCGCTTCCCGGCTCCGGAGCCGGCATCCCTGTTCCCGGCAGATCCGCGCGCCCGCCCTTCTGGCTCAGTGCGGCTCCGGCGCGAGAGCCGAACCCATAGCAGTAAAATCCGGGAGTCACCAGTGTGCCACAAATGCATTTGGTAAATGCAGCAATTCACYCGTCGACAAAGGCCAAACTCGTATGTTTGTGTGTTCTTTCCTTGTCCTTACGTTGTATGATATTGTAAGATTATTGTATGTCCTAATTCGCATTATCAAATGTTTTTTTCCTACTTAAAGGCATAAATATAGCAACTTTGTATAAAGGTAGCTTTCTAGATTTTTATTTCTTTTATAAAAAAAAATGTCTAAACAGTGGGAGTACCATTGCCAAATTGTTTATACAGTTTCAGTTAACTTGCCCTGTTGAATTAATCTTTTACAAACATTCCTTGTTTCCTTTATGACAAAAGTGATACTGTACTATGCAGAAAGAGTGTATTTTTATGCCGTTTGAAATCAACCTTAAAATTAATTTCACTTGTTTTAAAGTTTCCTTACTGAGAAAGCTTACCAAATGTGCATTTAAAAAAAAAAAAAAAAAAACATATTATGTACTATGACAGCATTGTCCCTTCTACCAGTGCCAAATTCATTTGGGAAAAAAAAAAAAAAAAAAAAAGGAATTGTAGCATGGCAATAAACTATTGATTTTACATTGAAAATAGTGTGTGGGCTACTTGGGCATTTACCAGCGGGAAGGATGTTCATTCTCAGAGTTGCTTTATTGTCCTTTTAGTAAAACACTTTTTGCTTTTTCTTAAATCACTGTTTCAGGCACCTGGCTGCTGGGTGGGATGGTTCTGTGTGTTTCTTGTTTGCTTTTCTTTCCATTCTCATTTTTCTACTACTGTTTTATTAATGGTAAGGAACTAGAAAATGATGACTYGGCCTTTGGAATTTGGAAGTCTTTCTCACAACTTTTCACAGAATCCCAGAGCGGTTGAGGTTGGAAGGGGCCTCTGGAGATCACCCAGTCCAACCCCCTGCTCCAGCAGGGACACCCAGAGCACGGGGCACAGGGCGGCATCCAGGCGGGTTGGGAAGATCTCCAGAGAAGGAGACTCCACAGCCTCCCTGGGCAGCCTGTGCCAGGGCGCTGTCACCCTCCCAGGAGAGAAGTTCTTCCTCACATGCAGATGGAACTTCTGTTTTGTTTTAACCAGTGCCTGTTCTTTATATGTTTCTCATATACGCAGACTTTGGGATTTTTTTTTCTGTGTATTGTTGCCATTAATTACCAGCCAGTGAATTATATGCCATCATATTGAATGTATTCCTAGTCAGTTAAACAACTAAGAGATTTAACAAAGCTCAAATTTTTAGTATATTGGTAAATTGAGGGGAAATAAAAAAAGGCACTAAGGAAAGAAGATGAAGCCTCTCTAGATGCCATCTTCATTTCTTAGGAGTCTAGAAAATACAGTGGTGATTGCTCAAAATTCACTGTTTCCTCTTCTCTCTCTCCTAAATCCCTCTTTTAAAGCATAACTTCAACAACGATGATGTTTCAAGCCAACAACTGAACAAAGGCTAGAGATTTCAGGAGATACTTTTTTTTTCCGGAATCTGCTAGGAAACAACCTAGTGGTCCTTGGAGAAAGTTGGTTAGATAACTCAGGAGTTTGAAGAAAACTCAGTTTTAAGGAAGTWTTGGGGCAATTCTCTGTGCCTGGCTAACAGCTTGCAGCTTCCACCCCTGAATGGCTGCTTGAGAGGCATCTTCCTTTGGAAACAAGGTGAACAAAGCTTCAGTGTTCAGAGGGAACTTTGGTTCCTTTTATCCTCGCTTCAGCCGAGCTCTTCAGCAGCACTTGGTCGAAATGCTCCATGTCGCAGTGACAATGTGCCAACAGGCAAAGCCTTCATGGTTCCTGAATTAYGTTAGCAATATGAGTGCAACTCATGCAAGGGAAACAGGAATTCCAATTAAAGCAGGCGTATAYCTCACGTTCCTGAGCTAAAGATGCTCTGCTATGCAGTAAAACTGTGAAGCTTGCTTGGAGTAGGTGGTATGAGGGATCCACAGCTTAGCTTCTAACTGTGTGTGTGTGTGTGGCAATACCATTTCCAATAATGATAGTAGCTGCCCTAAAAATTCAGTATTAATAAATTCAGTTAAATTCAGTATACATAAATCACAGTAATACATCTGTAAGTTTTCTGCTGGGAATCAAAGAATTGGATTTGGTGGAGAGTCTCTATCTTCCTTCCACGGTTTTATCTGCCTCGAGMTTGAAATGCCTGCAATGACTCAAGTAAGCCCCAGCCTAGTTTCTGTGATCACTGGCCAAGTCGTTAGCCCTGGAGAAGACAGGGAAGGGGTCTGCCCTGCACCCCCACGATGCGGAGAGCTCCACTGGGCCACGAGGACACGGGAGCACATGGGGCTCCCACTGAGACCTCCCCGAGCAGCTGCCCATGGGGCCTGAAATGCTTCACGGAGAGGAGAGCGTGTCATCTTCTAAAGGCCGAGCTGGCCAGTGGGCAGAGCTAAGCAACGCGTTACACCCGGCTTATTTGCCACTGCTTTCCTGTAGTGCTCAACTGCACGTCATCTTCCTGATTAAAGGTTAATTGCTTCATCTCTGGTTATTTTGCAGGACAGCTTAAAGCGCACAACTTGGGTTAATTGTCCAAACCCTCCTTAAGGGCAGTTTCGGAGGACATCCCAAGGCATTTTTACCCTTAGTAGACCTGCCTTTGCCAAAGGCCCTGGTCTTGCACTTTAATTACAAATTACAAATAGTGCTACTTCCATTTTTAAAACAAAAACAGAGTGTTTTTAAGCAGCTGGGAAAAGGAGTAAGGGAACAAACTATTCAATAAGGTAATTTTAAACCAGCTCTATTTGCTTGCACAAGCAGGCAACAAGCTTTTTGCGTAGAAAATGTGGCTGAACACTCGCAGAGCTACCCTCAGCACAACTACCAGTGATTTAGGATCAGAAGGATTTGTATCCAATTGTTTATTCAAGAGACAGAGCAGGCAGCAACAACCAGGCATTGCTTGTCAGGTGCCCTTAGAGGCCAGGAGCCTCTTCGAAATCAAACCAAGGGAACAGGATTTAAAATGTTTGGCCCTCAAACGCAGTGTGGAAGTTACCCTCCCGCTGCGGAAGGTTGTTTAGGAACAGTGGGGACTAACGGGCAGCGCGGCGCTCTGCCATGGCCGCAACGGCCGCTAACGGCCGCTCCAACGGCCGCCTCCCGGCAGGCCGCGCGGCGGCGCCGCGGGCGGAAGCGGCCGCTCCTCTGACGCAGCTTCCTGGAGCGCTCGTGGGGCGGCGGTCGCGCGTGTCTCTGCTGCCGTGCGGGAGGAGCGGCGGCGCCGGCGCCATGGTGAGTGCCGGGCGGCAGCCCCGCTCCGCTCCGCTCCGCTCCGGCCCGCGCCTCCCCGCGCGCGCGTTGCC